TAAAAATATTTAAAATCAATATTATATGTATCATGATACACATTCAGCATACCTTTTTAGGATGCTAAACCCCTTTTGGTCCTTGAATGAATCACACAGATGGAATATAGTGTTGTCAGAGAGAAAATGAGAGAGAGAATGTAAGAGGGAGCAAATGAGTAAATGAGCTAGATTTCAAAGATTAGAGGTTTTTGAGATGCAAAGGTTGGTCGCACTAGAAGTGTAAATGAGCCGAACACGAGCTAGCCCTGGCTCAATTTGTGTACGGCTCGTAAAAAATATCACTGCTCGTGTTCGGCTCGTTTGCTTAGCGAGTCGAACACGAGTTGTTCACGAACAAAGAGTCGTTTTGATAATCCTAATCACGCAGTCATACGATGTTAATGGTTGAGGCAAGAATTAAATCTTATTGTTTATACTAAAACATCATTTAAATATAATTTAATGATTTTTATTCTATTTTTTAATTTTTAATTTTAATTGATTATAAATCTTTGTAGCCTTGTAGTCAATTATATATATATATTGAGCCAAAATGAGCCAAATATGAATGAGCAAATCTTTGTCCGTCTTCATCATTTATATATATACATTTATATATATATGAGTAGTATTTCGAACCAAAACGAGTCGAACACGAATGAACAAATCTTTGTTCGTGTTCGACTCGTTCGCATATCAAACACAAAAAAAGGTATTCGTGTTTGGCTCGTTAACTTAACGAACGAATCGAATATGAGCTTCTTAACGAGCTTAACACGAGTTGTTCGCAAACAATGAGTTATTTTAACAGCCCTAAGCCACACAATGAGAAGAACTAAATCATAAAGAGTTGTAAGCAACATCGACTGCACCATGGAGTTTGTCACTCTACAGATCAGTGAGCTCAAGGAACATATGATAGAAATGTTTAGTGGAAACCTCGCTCAAGTAACGGCCATACCACCATAGCAACAGACCCTTGGCATTGAAGAGGTGAACTCATAGCAACACCAAGAGAACTCTTTTCATCGACACCAAACGAAGAAGACGAAAAATGCTAGAATACAACAAGGGTTGGCCCCGTCAAACTATGATGTGCAGAAACGCCATGACCGTGCTGGCTGGAGAATGTTCCCAACTATGGATTCCTATCGTGGAAGACCAGATCCCTTCGTTCATGACGTCTCTTTTGAATCTAATATATGTTTTCTAAGAATAAATGACGTACTTAAGTGTCGACTTTTTAATGAATTTGATTAAGCCTATCCTCAGATGATTCGATAACTTGCCATTAGAAGTAATAAACTCTTTTGTGGAGTGCACAAGGATGTTCATCTCGTAGTTCATTGCTACACAAAAACCTCATAAATGCTCACAAACCTTCCTACAGCTTCTCCAGGAACATGAGAGACATTTTGCGCTTTTATCGCCCATTTTTAGAAGGAATGTCAAGAGTATATAATTTAGAACCTCTTTTTGCTAATGTCACCCTAGCTCAGAGGCTAAGAGAAGGTTCTTTCCAATACATGCTTAGACTTCAACACCTGAAAATGTTGGTAAGCTATTAAAACTCACTAATAACCATACATTAGCTGAAGAGTATATCCTCTAGCGAGCAAGACATTCGTACCCCCTAATGTGGAACTTCCAAATAAAAGAATGGAGGAAGAATCACCACACACAACTAATGACTAGACCTTGATTCGAGTACCACCATTAAATATTCCAAGGGAGAACTCACATGCAGAAGCAAGGAGTCCGCTCTTTCCACGGATGAGTTTGTAATCAGGAAAGACGAACAAAATGCCATTTCGAGAAAAGATCTCAGCCCTTGACTCATGAGATACCCCAACGTATTCTGCTACAATTCTTGGTGGAAGAGATAGTGAAAACCATCTAAAATAAGGAGTACTTTCGTAAGCCCACCCTGATGAAGGCAAGAGGATATGTTCAGGATCTGAAAAGGTACTACACTTATCATAGAGAACATAGGCAAGTCATTGAAGAGTGTTGCTACCTTTTGAGGTTAATTGAAGAACTAATTATAATCTGAAAGTTTAAGGAATTTGTGTCACCTAGAGCAGTCACCCAGAGATAGAGGAGAGCTCCGATATAAGGAGATCGTAATGAACCTGCTTGAGCCCAAGCAATCCATGTTGCAAGGCTTATCCCGACTATCCTTGGAGCTGACAAAGTCGAAGCCTCTTGATGAACTAGCATGAAGAGACTTTACTTGGGAGAGCTATATATGACTACCTCTTCCTAATGGTGGATCGTGCACCATCTATCTATCATCTACAATGAGGCATTTTATATTATATGTAGTTAAGGCACAAGAATTAGAACTTAAAGTTCTCCCTAAAAATTTGAAATATGTATTTTTAGAAGAAAATTCTGCTTTTCTCATCATCATTTCATCTAAATTAACTGAATTGCAATTGATAGAGTTAATGAGAATATTGAGGAATTTTAAGTTTAACCCCTAATATTATATTTAGTTTAGGCACGTGAATTAGAACTTAAAGTTCACCCTAAACATTTGAAATATGTATTTTTAGAAGATTGTTTAGTTTTCCCCATCATCATTTAATCAAAATTAATAGAATTGTAATAGACAGAGTTAATGATAATATTGAGGAATTTTAAGAATTTTTTTATGTGGACCACAGTAGATATAAATGGTATAAACCCATCACTATGCATGTATAAAATTTTGATAGAAGAAAATCATCAACCAAAAGCTTATCCTTAGATCAGGCTAAAATATGTTATGAAAGAGGTGTTGAAAAGGTGATATTAAAGAGGTTAGATGCATAAATAATTCACCCCATTTTAGATAGTGCATGAGTTAGCCCGATACATTATGCCCCTAAGAAAAGAGGTGTGATAGTAGTGTAAATTGACTAGAAAAAAATTTACATTCACTATAAAGAGTGATGGAGAATATGCATACACATTAGAAAATAAATAAAAAAACCACTAGAAATTATCACTTTCTCTTGCAATTTCTTGACTATATATTGGATTTATTGATAAGGAACCCCTATTTCCTAGATAGTATTGTAGAAATCATCAAATTCTTATAGCTCCATAAGTTCAAGATAAAACATCTTTACCAGTCATTATGAAACTTTTGTCTTCAGAAAATGCCTTTTAGATTTTGTAATGCTAGTGTTACTGTCAATGACGTATGATGGTGATCTTTTCAAACTTGATAGAAAAAAGGATAAAAGTATTTATGGGTGACTTCTCTAAATTTGGCATGTCCTTTGATGCATTTCTTGAACACCTATCAAAGGTTTTGCAATGGTGTGAAGAGACTAATTTGGTGTTGAATCAACAAAAATATCATTTATGGTTTGTAAAAAGATTGTACAACATAAGTTATTGGAGAAAAGTTTAGAATTGGTGCTGTCTAAAATTCAAGTTATAGAGAAATTATGTCCATCTACACCTTTTAGAAGGATTAACGGTTTTCATGGGCATGCAATATTCTATCTTAGTTATATTCAGGGCTTCTTTAAGATATCCAAAATTTTATGTCATTTATTAGAGAAGAATGTGCCTTTTGTGTTTGGTGAAGAATGATCAGTGGTCTTTGCATGTTTAAAAAAAAGTTTGGCCGCTACACCAGTTATTATTACACCAAATTAGGGGATTCCATTTGAGCTAATGTGTGAAGCTAGTGATTATACTGTAGGGTTAGTGTTTGAATAGTGTTAAGATATGATTTCTTATGTGATATACTATGTGAGTATGACTATGAATGAAGCACAACTGAATTATACCAGCACAGAGGATGAGTTAGTTGATATAGTTTTTACATTTGACAAGTTTAGGTCTAGCGTAATAGACAATAAAGTTAAAGTCCAGACTAACCACTATGTAATTAAATACCTTGTAACTAAGAAGGATGTCAGACTTTCACTATTTCATTGGATACTTTTGTTATCAAAAATTGATATCAAGATAGTTGATAGGAAAGCCATCAAAAATTAGGTAGCAAAACTATTTTTCTTGTTTGTAATAGAAATTTTTTTTTAAACTTCTTGAAGATAATAATGAGAACTTTAAAAATGTACTGGAGTATAAAATAAAGCATATAAGTAAAAGTGATCACCAAATTCTTCTCTATTTTGTTGCATTTGCATTTGTGGTGTCATAAATAAGTTTGGGAGGAGGGATTGCATGTGCATGTGTTAATATTGCACTTTAAATAAAAAAATATATAGCTTTAAAATTTAAATAAATAAAGGTGGTTGTAGTAGTTAAGAATAGGTGAAAACTAATAATAAACAAAACATATAAGTAAAAGTGACATGAGTTTCCTAAAAGATTTGGAAAAAAATTAGTAATTCAATTAACAACTGATCTCCAACAATAGTAATTAAACCAAATATAGCAATCCCCAACAAAAAGAAAGAAAAAAAAAGAAATCAAAAAGGAAAAAAAAAAGAGGAAGCTTAAAATTGTTAGAAAATATTAAAAAATTAAATGTAGAAATTTTCAATATAGCAATCCCCAACAAAAAGAAAGAAAAAAAAGAAATAAAAAAGGGCAAAAAAAGAGGAAAAATAAATTGTTAGAAAATATTAAAAAATAAAAAGTAGAAATTTTGAAGAACCTTTGGAGAGAAGCTTGACTCGAAGCTCAGATTAAAAATTGATACTAATTTCTCTTCTAAAAATCAAATGATCAATAACTTTTATAGGCAAGCTAGAAACTTTGTATTTAAAGATATTGTAGCGAGATTAAAGATGGTTTAACTGAATAGATAACTGAATTTGATCGAATATTAATTTTATGTTATTCAAGCTTCACATAAATAATTTAGGATGATTATATAGATACATGATTACTATTTGTGGTATTGGAATATTAGGGGTACTATAAAAGTTCAATTTGAAAGAAAATACTTATTACTATATCTAATAATAAAATTTATTTTATGAATGAAAATATTTATTTCATTTTTTAAGTGCTAAAATACTCATAATTTTTTTTTATATGATGAGAAAATTTTAGGCCGTATAATATAAAAAAAATATTAAAATTTTGGTCCTAAATAAATAAATTCATAAAAATTGAGTGGTACCATACTTAGACCTTATCCATAACCTCAAAGAAGTTTTCAACCTCCACGTGGCACCGTGGGAGCCGCAAGTACTCCAACCATGGATATCCATCCATTTGTCCATCGGAGGAAAGGGATTCAGAAAATTTACATGCATACCACACAATTCTCATGTATTTACATAGTTAACCTCAAAAAAGTTGATATTTACATTTTTCTTACCATAAAGAATGTATTTCACTTTTTGAAGGCTTACATGGACGTATTTTTTATGCGACTTTAATGTTTTGAGTGGTATATATGTAAATATAAATATTTTGATATTACATATATATAATATCATAATATTTAGGTGGCATATATGTAAATGCTCGATTTTGTTACTGGTCAACTAACAACCTCTGAACTAATTTTAAATTGTAGACATTATAACAAACATATTCCTCATAACTCAAAGATGATCCTGGTCGTTTATGTTGATCAGCAGTTACGACAATTACATTCCAATGATCCGATACAAGTTAAGAAAAGTAATGCGCGAGTTGCCAGAACAAAAATAAATTCCATAATCACAACCCTTCCCCTGCAGTGACGGTCGATCTTTTAAACAATTACACGTGTACGGTGGATGTCATTCCATTGTCGGTAAAAACAAAGATTAGCGTTGGGTAATGTGGTAGTTTCGTCGAAACCATAATAAATTACAATAAAACCCTTCTCTTATGGCTATATAAGCAGACCAACCTATTCTTATAATCACTAGCAAATATCTCGATATTGCATCGTAAAGATCTTCTCCATTTTTAGATCTTTTCGTCACTCACGCTCTCTTCCCTCCTTTTCTTTCTCCTAGGGTTTCGTCGTTTGTTCGAGAAGGCGAAAAATGGCTCCGGAAAAAACCAGACGTGCTGTTGCGGCCATTGCAGGATTCAACAAGCCAAATGTAGTCCAGCGAGGGGCTTTCGTTACTTTTCTTGCTGGTGATGGAGACTATGTTAATGGCGTGGTGGGGCTTGCGAAGGGTTTGAGAAAGGTAAGATCGGCTTACCCGCTGATAGTTGCGGTGCTGACCGATGTACCCGCGAGCCATCGCCGAGAGCTGGAGTTGCAGGGCTGCATTATTCGCGAGATCGATCCTGTGCACCCGCCGCCGAACCAGACCAGGTTTGCCATGGCTTACTACGTCATTAACTACTCCAAGCTACGTATCTGGGATGTAAGCCGATTCAACATTCCTTTCCGAATTTCGATTACGAATGATTTTTGTTTTTTGATTTTGATATGGATTTGGATTTTGCTCACAGTTTGTGGAGTACAAGAAAATGGTTTATCTCGATGCGGATATCCAAGTGTTCGACAATATTGACAATCTCTTCGAATTGCCCGACGGCTACTTCTATGCGGTGATGGATTGCTTCTGCGAGAAGACCTGGAGCCACTCGAAGCAGTACGAAATAGGGTATTGCCAGCAATGCCCTGATCGTCGGCCATGGCCTGTCGCGGAGCTCGGCCCTCCTCCATCCCTCTATTTTAACGCCGGTATGTTCGTTTTTGAGCCAAGTGTCTCCACTGGTAAATCCCTTCTTTCCACGCTTGAAATCACTACCCCAACCTTATTCGCAGAGCAGGTAAAATCGTTAATCGATATCAAAATCCCTAAACGTCTAATTCTAAATCTATCCGCTAACATCGATTCCCAATTTAGGATTTCCTCAACATGTACTTCAGGAACATCTACAAGCCTATCCCGCTGGAGTATAATCTGGTAATGGCTATGCTGTGGAGACACCCTGAGAAGGTTGATCTGCAGAAGGTGAAGGTGGTTCACTACTGTGCGGCTGGATCGAAGCCATGGAGTTTCACGGGGAAGGAGGAGAATATGAATCGGGAGGACATACGGATGCTCGTGAAGAGGTGGTGGGATATCTACAACGATAAAAGCCTCAATTTAAACCCGCGGAAGCTGCAGGCTGGAACAAGGGAGGTTGGGTCCCCGGCGGCGTCCGGCGGCGTGAAAAGGCCGTTAATGGCTTCGCTGTCGAAAGCCGGGATGGGGCAATTCGTTAGGGCTCCCTCTGGTGCGTGAGGAGCTCGCGCAGTGAGAGCGACTGACCATGTGGCGGTTGGTGTTTTTGGGGATCGCCCTCGGTCTAGAAGAGTCGAGCTTCTTGTTTTTTGTTTTTTATTTTTTTTATCTTTTTTGTTTTTTGTGGGTTAATATTTTAAAACCGTACGAGGTTCGAAAAACAGTGAGCCGTATAGTTTGAATGCTGCGAAGATTATGCTAAAAGTTTATGTTGGTATAGTTGTTCATGTTTGTGCTTTAATAATTTATAATTGTAGCAGTCAAGTTTGTGTCTTTTTGTTAAATATATGGAATAAATTGTATATTATGCTTATGCTGTACTGTATCAGTACAACGGCACGTTTTTATTTTTATTTTTTGGTACATGCCACTCAAGATATTTAACACCTAAGTTTCAATTATAATATATATATATTATTTTAATTTTTTATAAAAAAAGGGGTATTGTACCCTCTAATAATAAAAATAGTAATATTTTTTATGTGATATAAAAATTTTGGAGAAAAAAGGATTCATGTAGCCGACCCCATAGAGTGGGATTATGGCTTTGTTGTTGTTGTTGTTGTTGTTGTTGTAGTAGTAGTAGTAGTAGTATTATGAAATACAAAACTATAAAATTTACAGATAAAGGATTGAAAATTATAATATTATGGATAATGATCGTAGCACCCCTATATTTACATTATATAAATTATTTTTCACCTCTATTTTTGTGCGTGCGGGGAGTATTTCTCTACCTGCTTCCCTTCATTATTATGTTGAAAATTGAATGGCCTTCCAATTTCCTTAAGATACAGACGTGATTGAAGCAAGCTGGGATGGCAACGACGTGAACGAGGAGAACAAGACGACCAAAAGTGCTTTGGTGAGAAGCATGATGATGGAACTTGTAATCCCATGGAGGTTGATGCTCTGGAGCAGAGAGTGCTCCATCTTGGTGGACAACTTGTCGTCAGCTTTGATGGTAGACCGAGAGAGGACGTTGTTAAGCCTCAGAAAATGGATGGGAAATGAGACCACTTCGACGGCATGCCCATGGATGTGCAAATCGAGAAGCAAATTAAAGGGATCCCTTATTTGTGTTCTCCACTTAAAGCTCAAGACAGAGATGAGCATGGATCAGAAGATGGAAATTTCCATGGAGGATGAACAATCAGGTAAATTCCGAACTTCAAGTTTTCAACAAGGTGCTTGGTGGAGGAACGAGAGGTGGTCGTTTATCTACTTGTGTGTAGTAACGTCTCGGTGCAGGCTGTGATTTTTCCATAGGGGTAAACAACTTTAAGTCTATGACTCCATGCAATGCTAGAGACACGCCTATATACATTTTATATTATTTTTACTATATACATTTTATATTATTTTTAATGATATTGTACTTTAAAGGAAGGTATTTTGCATGTTTTTAGTTTCATGTACAACAAATTAAGTTTTGGAGAAAAAGCTGCGAAAAAGGAGCAGAACGGGGTCAATTGGAGCAAATGAGCAAAAAGTGAACTGGCGCCTAGGCGCCAGCTTTTGACGCCTACACATTAGAATCTGCACGTGAAAACAGAGAGCCCGGTGCTATGGCGTCAGGATCCGGGGTCTAGGTGCAAGACAATTAACCAGGGCTTCTAGAAGGTTGGCGCCTAAGCGCTAGAATTGGTTTTTCTTAAAATTCAACGTATTTAGACGAATTTTGAAGGGGCATATGAATTGACTCTTGGGAATTTCAAGGGTTATATTAAATGAGACTTGGTGTCTCTTTAAGAAGAGGCGAGTGAGTGTGAGGGGTAGTGTGTGTGTGTGTGTAAGTGGGGGGGTATCTTTTGGAGTTTTGGTGACTTTTGGGACTTTGAATAGAAGTGTAAGGGATTACTATTTGCTGTGCAAGGACGGCATGAACCTTATGTAAAGATAAATCTTGGACTCTTTTTGTATTTCCTTTGAATTATTGTAATATAGTTGTATGATTTCAATGTCATTTGCAATGAAGAATTTGTGTGCTTTCTTCATGTTTAGTGATTAGTTTTCCTTACTCTTCCTCTTATGATGAAGTAGTCGCATGTGTAGGAAAATTTGTTCTATGGTAGAATAATTTTAATTTTTATGTGATGAGTAATATCTCTGTTGCTTCATTGCATAACGTATTGGTTATAGGTTATGTTAAAATTTGTTGTAAGTTGAGACTGAGACTTGGATGAGCGGTGACTTGACAACTTGAGTGGACTCACATTTTCTGATTGGCTATGGTGAATTAGTTTAGGTGGTAATGCAATTTTAAAGGAAATATATTTCATGATTTGTTTATATTAGGAGCTTCTAGATGACAATTGATATAAGTGAATGCGTATGTTACCATGAGTTGTAAGGCTTTTTAACCACCTTTGAATCTTTGCTAGTTGTATAAAACTAATAGAATACTAAGCGTACCTATACACTTGGAAGATGGTAGGTAGACATATGTTCCTTGTTAGCACAAAATTATTACATAAATCTATCAATTTTTATACTACTTTTGCCACTATATTCATTGCATGAAGTAAGAGATTTTGATTATATAGAACTTTTCAAAATTTAACCAGCCCCAATATATTAGGATTTTATTTAATTTAGTTAACTTTAATTTTATAGTATAGTAGTGAATTTAGAAAAATCAAACTTTTTAAAAATTTCAAACTAAGACCTGATAGTAGTAAACTAGAACTTAGCCTAAGGGATTTCTTACCTCGCTTATTTTTGGGATTGATACTCTAGGTTCAAAAAAAGTCCTATATTACTTGAATGATACGTGCACATGTGTTTATATCTGGTTAGTAGTGATAAATCGTGGAAAATTAAGTTATTAAAGTTATAAAATATATTTTTAAAATTATAATTATTTAAACCATAAATCATTAGGTATGCTGTTAGAGTAAGTAGCGGTCAAGTCAATTGGCGTCATTGTTGGGGAGGCTACAGTAAGAACTTTAGGAGAATTTTAGTTGAACCTGAAAGACTTAGATTTAGAAATTGTAATGTTATTATTTAGTGTGTTTAATTATTGTGTTTTAAAGAAAATCAAAAATAAAAGAAATAATTTTGACTGCTTAAAGTACTGTATATTTATTCTATTAGTTAAGTCTTTAAATTTGTATGCATAGTTCTAGAGTTGCAGACCTTGAACCCTACGAATCAGAACTAGAGAGAACTGTTAGGAGGATTATGAATCAGAAAAGACTACATGAATTTATTGTAGAAATGGCTATGGTGAAGTAGTTTAGGCGGCAATGCAACTTTTAAAGGAAATATACTTCATGATCTATTTCTATTAGGAGCTTCTAGGTGACAATTGATGTAAGTGAATGAGTGTCTTACCATGAGTTGTAAGGCTTTTTAACCACTTTCACATCTCTGCTAGTTGTGTAAAACTAATAGAATACTAAACGTGCCTATACACTCGGAAGAGATATGTTCCTTGTTGGCACAAAAATTATTACATAACTCTATTAATTCTTATACTACTTATGCCACTATGTTAATTGCATGAGGGAAGGGATTTTGATTATATAGAACTTTCTAAAATTTAACCAGCCCCACTAGATTAGGATTTTATTTAATTTAGTTAGCTTTAATTTTAGAGTATAGTAGTGAATTTAGAAAAATCAAACTTTTCGAAAATTTCAAACTAAGACCTAATATTAGTAGACTAGAACTTAGGCTAAGGGATTTCTTAACTCGCTTATTTATGAGATCGATATTCTGGGTTTAAAGAAAATTCTTTATTACTTGAACGATACGTGCAGTTGAGCAACTCCTGGTGAGTACTAATGAATCATGGAAAATAAAGTTATTAAAGTTATAAAATATATTTTTAAAATTATAGTATTTAAACCATAAATCACTAGGTATACCGTTAGAATAAGTAATAGTCAAGTCAGCTAGTAACACTTTAAGCACTCCGAATACTTGCAGAAACGCAAGTCAAAATCCCTTAGCAGCAACGTTGACAAACTGATCCATCAATTGTTTGAAAATGGACAAGGAAGCAATCACAATATGTAAAGCCAGAAAATAATGACCGACTTGGGGGAATGCAAAGTGGGACCAATTGTTTTGCACCAAGATCGAATGCCTCTTTGAACAAAGGGTGGAGCAATGTGGAATCCGTTTGAAAAAGACCTGAACATACCTGAATTGAAGCTTGCTTTGATCGAGACCACATCAGCTGTGACTGCACCATAGTGTTTCTTAATGAGGAATGCATTGATACTAATCAAATGAAACATGAAAAAAACCATTATTAATAAACTCTTTCGAAAGAAAATTCCCTTCTTGATTCTAAAAATGAACAATATCGAAAATGGTCTCACTAAGGTGAATTCCATCTTGTTCCTATTGGTGTCAACTGCTTTATCTATATTTTTGAATCTATTATGGCTTGGGATGTCATTCTAAAATGTGGTCCTTAGATCTTCTCAATCTCAATTGTTGGAATCAACTAGTGGGCTCCTAACTTTTTATCGACTTCCACGCAAGGATTTATATCCCCAAAATGGGTTCGACTTCCCATCTTCCCCTTCTTCTGTTGACTTTCGAAGAAGAATTGCATTCATCTGTAATTTTTGTATTGAAATTTTGTTATTTCCTAATATATATTGTAATGTATGGAGCTTCTGTTGCATGTTTATTGAAATCTTAGTTTATGATACTGCAGTTCACATTATATTGCAATTTACATTTTCTTCCAGCTTCCATTATCATTTTCTTAGGTTTAATCAATGCTTGGGATTTGTTTAACGAAAAATTTTCTAAATTAAACAATATATAAAAAAAATGTGCAAAAAAATATAATATGTAAATACGTAAGAATATCATGAATATAACTAAAATAAGAAGTCCTCACATAGTGATGGAAATAGATTGATTAAAAATGACTCTTATCTGAAACTGCGTTTAGGTTTTTACACTAAATGCAGACCGCGGGTTAACCCCAGCCGGCCCGTGGGCCGCATTTCAGGATAAGCAGCTTATCCTGAAACGCACAAGCTGCCCCAAACATACCCTAAATAAGAAGTCCTCACATAGTGATGGAAATGGATTGATTAAAAATGACATGAATTGCAAAACAACTCATAAATAAGCTAGCTCCTGCTACATACTGATGGGACTTACAAGATAAAGTATGAAATGATTCCAAAACATGGCATCAATTTATTATAATTGTTACTCTTTTAAAATCCAAAGAGTTTCAATAAGCATGAATCCAAAATAACTTTATTATTAACATCTAAAGAGAAACAACCCCTATAATTAACTCTAT